TATATATATATATATAACAATCGCGTAGATATACAAATTAATGAAATAGAAAGCAGCATAGTGATCTTAATGCCATTAATGTCTGTATATTTAATATTTGTATATTATACATTTTAAAGTATTGCATTCCTTCTTCGATATATTATGAGCATTGTTGTTGTTTTTATACACTGAATATATATATATATATATATATGTGTGTGTGTGTGTGTGTGTGTGTGTATATGTGTATATATATGTATATATGTATAATATATACAAAACATTGTGAGGTTGCACGTGTTTCATTTTGGAAACGAGCCACATGTATGGACTTTATTGGAGAAAACCAATATTTTGATAAAAACTATATATATAGGCCTATATATATATATATATATATATATATATATATATATATATTATATATTTCCTACACTACTCGTTTTTCGATATATTAAGTATTCTATAATAACAATGCTCAGATAGAAACATCAGACGTTATAATCATACCACATGGACCAATTGTTGTATGGGAAGAGTGCCACCGATTTGGTATTGTAAGTTGCAGGGGTTCCAATAGAGTATTAGTTGAAATGTTAAGATTTAATATTCGCTTTTAAGTTTTATTAAAAAAAGTAACGAATTTTGTATTCAGTACATTTTTGACTGTCTTAAAGATGTGGACCTTTTCGATTAGGGGATGGGGTTGGGAACGGTGGGGAGGGTACGCACCCAAATAATTATTAAATTAACGTTTTATTAACATATACACTTTACATAATGATATTAAATCAATTAATTATATTTTCTGAATTTGCAATTTTATACCTCATGAAAGTATGAATGTCATAAAATATACATTTTGAATGTATTTCTCACTAGTTCAATCTCTCATTTCAGTGTCTCAGGTCAAGTCTACCGATTTATCAAGAAGAGCGAGATCGATGTACTATCATTGTCACCGGAACACAATGTATACCTATTTTAAACTGCCATAACACAATGTAATATCATTAGCAGGATTTTAGTTCGGAATGGTGTTTCTTCTAATTTTGGAAAATGTATATAAGGTAAGTAAAGCGTCTACTCTGTTGTACCACAGACCCTCTGTGTTCTGCACTGTAGTTGTACAAGCCTGTAGGCTTACATGGATTTAATTGCGGCATTAAACCGGAGTATCTGAGTGGAAATTTAAACAACAGTAACAACATATGACATACCGTATCGTAGGCACATGTTTTTGCAACCTACATTCTAAAATTTAACTCCAAGTACTCTTTAAAATTAAGTAAAATCATTTGAATTAATTTAATAAAGTGTAATATTATTTATATAGTGTCTTAAAAACGATCTATAGTCATAAAATGCGCTTTAATTTAAATATGGCTATAACAATCGCATATATACACATTAATTAAAATAGAATGCAGCGTAAATTTAAACAACAGTAACAACATATGACATACCTTATCGTAGGCACATGTTTTTGCAACCTAGATTCTAAAATTCAACTCCAAGTACTCTTTAAAATTAAATAAAATCATTTTAATTAATTTAATAAAGTGTAATACTATTTATATAGTGTCTTAAAAACGATCTATGGTCATAAAATGCGCTTTAATTTAAATATGGCTATAACAATCGCATATATACAAATTCATTAAAATAGAATGCAGCGTAAAAAATGTACTGAACAAAAAATTTTTTAATTTTTGTTAAATACCGTTAACGTTTGTATATTTAATCTTTTTTATCTTAATCCATTTTAATGTATTGCATTCGTTCTTCGATATATTATCAGCATTTTTGTTGTTTTATTTGAGCAAACCAATATTTTGACCTATCCTTGGTATCTTGATAAAGACGCAAGGATAGGTCGAAAAATTGGTTTTCTCCAATAAAGTGTTTCTCAAGTCCATATACATGGTATTCCTTTCCTATATTCCTTATATACATACATATATATATATATATATATATATATATATATACATATATACATACATACATACATACATACATACATACATACATACATACATACATACATACATACATACATATTTCCTGCCCTGTACTCGTTTTTCGATACATTAAGTATTCTATAATAATAATGCTCAGATAGAAACATAAGACGTTGTCATCATACCAAATGGACCAATTGTTTAAGGGGAAGAGGGCTACAGACTTAGTATTGTATGACGTTACAGAGTATTGGCTAAAATGTTAAGATTCAATATTCGCTTTTAAGTTTTATTACAAAAATTTAAAAAATTTTTGTTCAGTACATTTTTTACTGTCTTAAAAATGTGGACCTTTTCGATTAGGGGATGGGGTTGGGGACGGTGGGGAGAGAACGCACCGAAATCATTATTAAAATAACGTTTTATTACCATGTACACGTTACATAATGTAATTAATCAATTAAACAATATTAATTCTATATTTCTGAATAATGTTATACCTCATGAAAGTATGAATTTCATAAAAAATATATTTTTAATGTATTTCTCATTAGTTAAATCTCTTTTATTTCAGTGTCTCGGGTCAACTCTACCGATTCATCAAGAAGTGCGAGATCGATGTACAATCATTGTCACTGCAACACAATGTATATTAAATTGCCGGAAAACAATGTAATATAATTAGCCGGATTTATGTGGTCTTCTGCAAATAATCGCTCGCGGATATATTTATTAAGTTTTATACCACTGGATCATCGGAATTTAATTAAATTCGCATGTTATGTTTCTTCTACAACGAACAAGTAATCCTCCAACGATATTATATACTTAAATATAATTAGGCCTAAGCATTATGTTATATTATATAAAACTACAATCTTCGTATTTTATTTATATTACGTTTATATACCGGTACATTTCGTAGTATATTATAAGAAATAAAAGTTAACTGATGTGTAATTTGAAATACATCATTGTCTGTACTTTCTTTGTCGTAATTGCATTAATAATATATATTTCAATTATATTAATCAGTTTATAATCCGAATTAAATATATTATACCGGTAATCAGTTGGAATCGAATATACCAATACTATAGGCTACTACTATATCTTATAATAAAGATTAATATTTCTAAATATTCACGATACAAACAAATTACAAAAAAATTCAGAGCAAGGTGCTGTCAAATTTTACAAAACAGGAAATGACGTCGGTTGCTAGGCTACGCTCATGCATATTCAGTAACACCTGTGCTCATTAGACTAACAATAAAAACTTTTAGCTCAGTTTTGACAAAATCGACCAAAAAGATTTTATTGTTAGTCTAATTAGAACAGGTGTTACTGAATATTCATGATTATGCATGAACTTGTTGCTTAGCAACCACGTCATTTCCGGTTTTATGTATTTTGTTAAGGGCGCTCGAAAGTACCGTATAATTTTACAAACAGGAAGTGACGTCGGTTGCTAGGCAACAGCTCATGAATATTCAGTAACACCTGTGCTCATTAGACTAACAATAAAAACTTTTAGCTCAGTTTTGACAAAATCGACCAAAAAGATTTTATTGTTAGTCTAATTAGAACAGGTGTTACTGAATATTCATGATTATGCATGAGCTTGTTGCTTAGCAACACGTCATTTCCGGTTTATGTATTTTGTTAAAGGCGTCCTCGAAAGGACCGTATAATTTTACAAACAGGAAGTGACGTCGGTTGCTAGGCAACAGCTCATGAATATTCAGTAACACCTGTGCTAATCAGACTAACAATAAAAACTTTTAGCTCAGTTTTGACAAAATCGACCAAAAAGATTTTATTGTTAGTCTAATTAGAACAGGTGTTACTGAATATTCATGATTATGCATGAGCTTGTTGCTTAGCAACCACGTCATTTCCGGTTTTATGCATTTTGTCGAGGGCGTCTTCGATAGGATTTAATTGCTAGCTTAATAGACAAAGTAGGTAATATTGATAAAGAAATTCTTCACTTTTGGCATAAACACAGACATTGAAAAAGATGAGAAGAAATGCACAATTTCATTTTATATTTATTTACAAGCACTGAAATCAAGTTCGGATATACGTAACAGCCGTACATCTTTCCTGATAATTGTGGATTCTTTGTCTAAATCCCTGGAATAGAAAAATATTGAAAAAAATATTTAGAAAAAGAGAAAGAATTATAACGAAATAGCAAACACATAAATAAAAAAAAAATAGTGAGCACCTCAACTCAAACATTATCGTATTCAGCAATGTATGGACAATGATGATGATACAACAGAATAGTACTTAACACTTCTTCATATCAGCATTATCATATATTATCATCATACCACAGAATAAATGAGGATTCATAAATACTAGTACACAGTATTGGGTACCGGTAGGCCTAGTAGATTGCAATTGTGTGAACAAATTATTTTAGCATTCGATTATCATGTGTAAATAAAATGTATAAAAGTGTACCATTCGATAAAAATGAATACAGTATATAAATTCATACAGCATATTTGATATAAACATAATATTATAACATAAATATATATTACTATAGCTTCATACAAACATTTGTTATGATATAATATTTATTGACTGACTGATTGCATTTGTTCAACATGCAAAAGCAAAATAAAAAAACTGTGAACAAGAAAAGTGAAAATTAATGAGCATCAAGAACGCCTTTTAGCCTAGCCCATTTCCAATAGGGGCCAAATTTAAAGGTATATTGTCATGAGCTGAAAGGGGAAAATAGTAATTCAAATTGAATATGTATATCTAAGCAAGTTATTAACTTACAATTAAATATCTGTAAGACACTATCTTTGCTGTCAGCAATACCATTAGGCCAGAGTCCAGCCCATTTCAAATGGGGCCAAATTTAAAGATGCACTGTCTGTCATGAGCTGAAAGATGAAAAAAAATTAATTCCATGATTGAATATTTATACTAAAGTAAGTTATTAACTTACAATTAAATATCTGTAAGGCAACATTTTTTCCTGTCAGCAATACATTATATTCTTTATATATACACAGACACTTTTAACTTTTAAAATTGGCTGGGAGTAGTGTCAATTTCAATTTGAGGATTTTTGTAGTAAAATGTCGGTAAATCAGGGAAAAATATAAAAAATGCCGACATGGATCCAACAACATGGACCGGGGTCTGAAACAAGGGGCTACCTAGAGAAACTCGGTCAGGATCCTGGATAAAATCCATGGGGGGGGGGTGGGGTTCATGGGGAGATATTTTACGGCTTAGGATCGCCCATTTGCTTTTTGACCACAATTGGTTTGGCTATCAAAATTAATTTGCTTGGATCTGCATCTTTTAGTCGTTGAGTCGGACGATAGGGGTCAATGTTAGTTTATAAGTTATGGTAACTCGGGCTACATGAGCAAGGCTAGTTGCTTTTGACTTAAAAAAAACTATTTACAGCATATGCTACTGGGCTCAGCATACCATCTTATGTGGAGTATCCGTGCAGTGCATATGGCCACATAGAGAGAGAGAGTGACGCTCACCCACGGTTCATGCAATAATATTTTTTTATGGTTTCCTTCATTTTCTTTTTTCATATTTGGAATTTATTTTGGAGGGATGCCATGGGCTTTATAAATTTCAATATTATTATTATTACTAATAATATTAGATGGTCAACTGCTATCTATTTTCGAATAAATACAATTTGACAGCTGTAACCAGTGGCGGATTCTAGGGGGTGGCGGTGTGCAATCGGTCCCCGTAAATTATTCAAAATTATAAAATTATAAATTATTATTATTAGAGCAGGGATGTATAGAGGTGTCATATTCCATTTGTGAAATCCCTACATGGGTTCACTCTATTTTGAATTCCTAGATCCGCCACTGGTAGCTATAGGCCTGTTTTATACCGACATCATGGAGGTACATACCCACGACGATATTAATATCAATTAATAGACTTGTAATTTGGGCCTACCTCGATTACTTTCGTTTCCCTTTAAAAAAAATAATATGGAAAATATTTTTGTCGGGGTATAACAAATTTCGATTATTCTGATTAAAATTTGTGCACCAGATAATGACAAGATTCTTGATAATAAATTTAATATAATGTCAATTTAAAACAAAAAATAGATACGAATCTACAATGTAAACAACGAACGGAAGTAACAAATTTAAGCCCCAAGCTGTAAATAACGTTACTTTTGCGCCAGTGTTTCAGGAATTATAGTGGTTTTAGCGAGTCACTTGGATGTGTGTTGTTGTTGAATAGAACGAAGACATGTCAATGCATGCCTCTGTCGAGGAAATTGTCAATGCCTTCGATGCCTAACAAACTTAGTCAAAATAATAACCATAGTATGATGACAAAATTCCATTTTAACTATTGAATTAAAGATTTGTTCAATAATGTACTCACATTTGTTATTAGGCTTAATTGTAAAGTCTCCTTCGTAGTCTTTCAACTCCACATATAGTAGTGTTTATATTTAAAACGCCACCTGGTAAGGTATCAAAACAATTCATTATTATTTTTCTAAAGCGCCATTCCTTTATGATGATTAGGATGGTGATGATGGTGATATCGATGATGGTGGTGGTGGTGGTTATGATATGGCATTGATAGCGATTGATGGTGGTAGTGGTCATGATGACATTGATGATGATTATGATGATGATTGATGATGATGCCGACGTGATGATTATAATGAAGATAGTGGTGGTAATGAGGATATTGACGATGTTGATGATTGTTGATGATGATGATTGTAGGATAAGAATCTACCTTTTTTTTAATTTTTTTTAAAAAAGGAAACGACTACCAATGGAAATTAATACATACACGATAATAATAATAATAATAATAATAATAATTGTCGAATTATATAGCGCATATTGTAGGGACCTCTATGCGCTTAATTATTACCCCCGGATCACTGGATTAAGCACATATGGAACACACACTCAAGCCCCATGGGGGAATTACATAATGTTGCAGCTGTATTCAGCGCAGGCTGTGTTTGAACCTACCAGGTACCCACGTTCACGATGAACGTAACGGGTGATGCAATAATGAATTCAAGTTTTAAGCTTAAATGATGTTAAATCAGATGACACTAATTCCTATGTACCATAAGGTAAGAATCAGCTGGAAAGAAACTATAGGTGAAAATTGGCCAATTTTCGAAAAAAACAAGATGATAAGGCTCACGATTTTTTGGGGGGATTTTTTGACCCCGTCATTTTCACTTGTTTTGAGTTCTATTGGGACCTACGCATCACAACAAATACTCTGCCTGCAATTTGAAAAATGCTACTTGAATCCTTATAAGTTTAAATAATGTTAAATCAGATTATACTCAATTCGGCCCATGAGTCCGAATCCGGGAAAAATAAAACTTTTAAACGCTAAGAAAAGGATGTTGAACCGGTTAAATTAAACATAATCGGTATTTTCATGATCCAAAGGTACCATACGGCAAGAATCAACTTGAAAACAACTAGGTGAAACTGGCCAATTTTTGAAAAAAAAAAAAACGCGTACGATTTTTTTGGGACGATTTTGTTACCTCGCCATTTTTGCTTGTTTTATGTTCTATTGGGACCTTCGGATCACAACAATACTCTGCAAGTTGAATAATGCCAGTTGAATCCTAGTTATAAGCTTAAATAATCATGATACTCAATTCGGCCCATGAGTCCGAATCTGGGAAAATTTCAAACGCTAAGAAAAGGATGTTGAACCGGTTAAATCAACCGGTTAAATCAACTGGATAAAAGAAATGCAAGTAGGCCTATAAAGTGCACTATTCTTTTTTGGAATAGGCAGTTAAATAGTTGGTCCCATGTGAAATATGCTCCATGTGCACGTTAAAGAACGCAGTACACTCATCGGAAAAGTGTAGGGGATGCTCGATCACTAGCGAGAGGCCTGAAAGTAAGCCTTTGGATTTTCGTGGGTTAACCTTGGTATTTGCACCGTCCCTCCCATTAGTTTTTTTCTGTTCCAAACACAATCACCAAAACACGACTGGTGAAAAATAATTAATTATATGCTTATTTCTGGCATAATTTACAGCTTTTAGTACTATGAAAGTGATGTTGAACAAAAGTAAATTCAAACATATTCACTTTTTTTTTTCATGATCCTTGGATGCCATATTATGTAAGAACATGGAGGAATTAGTTTAGAATCTGCAGAAAACTGCAGGTGAAAACTCGCGTTTTTTGTCGAATTTTAACGATTTTTTTTATCTCTAGCACCCATAGATTTTTAAAGCTGAAATAATGTCTGCCATTAGGGGATTTGGCCTACTTTAGACTTTAGATTTTGAAATTTCAATGTTTCGATTTCATTTGCCACTAATGCAATCGAGGCCAAATAGGCCTATTCAGAATGTATACACATAAAATAAACACAATTCTGGGTAGGGTCATTCGAGATCATTCCCCGATATGGGCAATACATTTTTCTCAAAATTTATCATCTAGATTATTATTACTTGTTGTTTCAGTTGTTTCATATTTGATATATTGGTGAGCTCTACATCAAAATATAGTTGTTAATGAAACTTGCAAATTCAATTCAATAAAACTTTAATTTGATCAATTTCAAAATATTACAGTAAAATGTAAATAATTTGATGGTACAAATGAAAAGATGATAATTAAAATTCATAATAAATTTTAAAAAGTATTTAAAACAAAAAAACAAATTACTATTTTTTTTTTCAATCATAGGCCCTAATCATAATCATAATTCATATTTCTGAAAAAAAAACAGATCTAAATAAATTAGAGTTACAACTGCATAATTAAATATAAAAAGTCAATATTTAAAATTTAAACCTTAAGAATACATTGAAAACATCATTATTATGAATATTATTGTTGTCACAATCATCATTAAAAATGAAGTCATCATTATCCTTATTACTAAATATTATTCATAAAAACAATATATGACATTTAAACATTAAAATACATCCAAAACTTCACTATCATGATTATTATCATCATATTTATCATTTAAAAATGTTAACCATCATTATTCATATTACTAAATATCACACATAGAAAAACTAGAGTTATTGATTAGGTTAATTAACATATTCATAAAAACAATTATAAAATACATCAAAAACATCATTGTTATTATATTTCTTGAAGGTCTGCTTGGCGAGTATCAATAACAAAATCATAAAACTTGCGGTACACCATGTATTATCATTATCATCATAACTATTTATCATTCTAAATATTACTGGAAAAGCATGCCAGAAAAAGTAAAGTGTTACAATTGCATAAGTAAAAATATTCACATAACAACGAGAATACATCAAAAATATCATTGTTATTATCATTATCATTTTAAAAACTTTTCCCACATTATTCTTGTTTTCTTGCGTTCAAACTAGCCTATAAGGAAGAAGGGTCATGTTGTCCCCCTACTCACGTACACCTATCCCCCAAGTATGACAATTGTGAATGCATTAACCTTATACTTTCTGTTTAAATAATAATAACAATAACAATAAGGACAATATTAAATAATAATAATTATAATGATAATAATACCCATTTTTACAACCAAGATATAATCAAAATGAATTAGGAGTACTTGCTTTAAGAGATTCTATAAAAAAAGGAATTATATTACAATACAAGAACCAAATAAGGGTTATGTTTCAGGATTTTGATGAATAGAACACAACAATGTATTAATCAGATGAAACACCTGATGGAAGATAAAGAGATTCATTGTGAGAAGTTGTGTTGGTGTGGGGTCAACGCACAATCATTCGTAGTGTAACTGTTTATCATTGCTAAGCAGCGTTGTGTTGACTTGAACGATTTAAGGTCTCTATGATTGCATAAACACAGCATTCCATGCATTAATAATAAATGTATTATTGATTTTGTTCATAATCCGAGTTAGTGCTCTGCCCTTTTTACAAACCTTTATCCACTTATTAATTGCTTCCTTATTATTCATTAGCACTGAGTCAATGATAACATGAGTCACTTAATTAAAAGTTTAAGGGTATAATATACTGTAAT